AGGGGAACCAGGGAGGGTGGACCATGGTCTCACCCTTCGTTCCAGAGATCCTTCAAGTGGTCATGTACCAGGTCCAGAATTTTGTCCAGCCATGTCCAAAAGGGTAGCTTTCCAGGGGGGCTTTCTCTCTAAAGGAGGAAGAGCAAGACAGGAAGAGAGATGGACTTGCCCTTGGGGTAAGGAGAAGGAATTGGGGTGCGGGGCGGGTCAACTGCAGGGCGTTACCTTAATGAAGTTGGCCCAAGACAATTCACTCTTTGAGTCAGAGTTCTGCCCTGTGGGACAAGTAGCCACAGAGGGTTCAGGTCACAGGCAGAGGCCAGGCCAGGTGGGCAGACGGGCTGGGGAAAGGCTGAGCACAAAAGAAGCCTGTACCAAACAGCTTGTCCTTCAGCATTTTCAGCTGTTCCTTGTTGAGTTCGCGGCCAACGTAGGAAGCAAACTGCCAGCTGAGAGCAGGGCCCAGCAAGGCCCAGTGGGCCTTCGGGGGGTTGGAGAAGAACTGCTGGTCCTGCAGGGCGGAGGAAGAACAGGATGGCTCAGATGCAGCCCCCAAGGCCCCCACCAAACCTCCACCCTTTTTCTCCGTCCCTTCCCTTGGTGGTGGTCTCTTCCCCATCTCCTACCTGGGGGTTTATGCTCAGCAGGTTGAACCAGAGAACAGAGGCCCAGGCAATGGAGAGTTGGTTCATGTTAGAAATCACCACCACAGGGAGGGTGTCCGTCTGCGGAGAGGATGGAAGTCACCAGGGGGGAAAAGCTGGTGTTTCTAGCTGCAGACATTGGGTGTGTGGAGGGAGAGGCGGGGAGGGAGGAGTGATGACGTCCCACCCGAGAGAGGCTTCTACTTATTCCATTCTGGTGCCTTTTCCCACATCGGCATCATCCCTCTTTGCCTCCAGTCCCACTCACTTTCAGCTCCTGCTTCAGACCCTGGTAGGTGTACTTGACCGTGAAGCTGATGATATGCAGTTCCTCAGTCACACTAAGCGGGCCCTGGGGCAGCCAAGAAGACAGTGACCACAGGGCCCTTTAGCAAGTCCCCCTGCCCACTCCCCTGCAAGCTTCTGTCCAGACCTCACCTTATTGCTGCCTTTTCCTGAACCGGCGGAACGCTGCTCTACCAGGGTCTGTGCACGGAGAGGGAGGAGAGCCAATGCCCAAAAGGGGCCTCCAGGTGCCCTCAGAACCACCCAAGGCCTAGACACTTTCCACAGGCACCTCTATCCCCCTGGAGTTGAAGCTAAGTCTAAGCTCCCGAAGCTTCTTACCAAGAATCTGAATTCCCAAATTAAGCCCTGCCTCTGCCCCTTCTCGGGGGTCAAAGTTTTCTGGTTTGAAGTCAGAATGTTGAACTTCCGGAAGCTGCCAAAGGAAGAAGAGATGGGGAGGGCAAGAGCAGAGTTAAGCGACAGACCCAGCAGGTGAAGCCCAAGAGTCTCGCTGCCTTTCAGACCTCCACTCCCCACGCGAACCCCGCTCCACCACGGCTGGTGCAGCTCGTGCGATACCCGTGGCTTAGTGGCTTACCGCATCCTGGCCAGGTACCTACCCTGGTATTTGAGGAGGATTCCTGTGGGGGGGCGGGGGGTGGGGGGAAACACAGGCAAAATACCGTAATTGAAAAACAATGTATTAAGAATAACAGATTAATGATATTAATAATTGAGAAACAATCGTGTCCATGTCAGGAGTTGGGTCTTTGGGAGTCACAGACATGGGTGCAGGCCTAGCGCTGTGGCCTTGTGCAGGAGACATCGCCTCTCTGAGTGGGTCCCCTTGTTTGCCTGCCTGGCGCCCTGAGAGTGCCTGCATGCGCAGGTTTGCTGTGACAGGGAAATGAGGAGGACCGGGCACGCTGCCTGCCACCAAGTGTGTCCCACAAGAGGGACCCCGGGGTAGGGGGAAAGGGGCCCCGCTCTGCAGAGTGGTGGGGACTTCCTCTGCCCCACCCGCCCACAGGCGAACCATCACTTGGTCCCACGCTCCCCTGGCCCTGACCTACCTGTCAACGCAGACTTCCAGGGTCAGCGACTTTGTACCTTCCTGGAGCCTCACCAGCAGCCTGCACAGAGAGGGGTGAGGGGGCGTGGCCTCAATCTTCTAGAGTCGGATGTTTGAAAGAGAGAAGATTCGAAGAGGTAGGGGACAGAGGAGCAAAGGGTGAAAATATGGTCTAGAGTAGGAAAACCCTGTGAGGGCAGAAAATGCACGGTGCCGCGGGGTGGGGGTGGGGTGGGGGAGGTATGGGGCTGGAGAAAGCAGGAATGGGTTTGGGAATGCTGACCTTGTTTGGACGCTGAACTTGTTCCCAGTCTTGAGGATAAGGGGTCGATGGGGCGTTTGGGGCATGCAAGGCTGGATTTCTACCACGAAGGCACTGGGGCAAGAGGTGTGAGAAGGACGCATAGCTCATCATCTCAAGAATGGCTCTGCATAGCCCTTCCCACTGTCCCGCCCCAAGGCCCCCCCTGACTGGAGACCTTTGGAGCAGACGCTGTAGCAGCTCAGTGACCTGAGCTTCCCGCAAGCACACCCCTTTGGCCAGAAGGTCCTTCGAGTAGTTAACCTCCAGACTCAGCCCCTTCAGCCCCTTCAATTGCTGCCACAAATGAAACAACAGCTTTGCTCCGTCGGTGAACCTGGGGGAGAGAGGCCAAAGGAGAGGGGCTGAATGGGCTTCGTGGGCCTGATCCAGGTTCCAAGGGCTCTCCTTCAGCCCAGCGGAAAGCCAGAAACAGAGGCGCAGATGAACGATGATGCAGCACGATTCATTAGCCAACCAGTCAAGCCATTTTTAACATGGAAAACAGGTACAGGATTAACATCATAGCTAATTTTGTATGAATGATTGCTATGTACTCTTTAGGAGCCTGGTCGCACTGGGGGCAAGATGTGGGGGCCACTCACTCTAAGGTCAGCAGCTCACGTCCATCAGCTGCCCACTGGCAGAAAGAACAGACTACCTGCTCCCATAGAGATTCACAGTCTCTGTACAACCACTGTGGAAAGTAAGACGGTGCTACCTCAAACAACTGGATAGAAATGCCAAACCATCCAGCAATACTTCTGCTGGACATATATATACCCTAAAGCAGTGGTCCTCAACCTTCCTCCTGCTGCGACTCTTTCATACAGTTCTTCATGTGGCGGTGACCCCAACCATAACATTAATTTTGTTGCTACTTCATAACTGTCATTTTGCTACAGTTATGAACCGTCATGTAAATATCTGATAAGCAGGATGTATTTTCATTGTTACAAATTGAACATAATTAAATCATAGTGATTCATCACAAAAAAATATGTATATATTGTGAAATATTTCTTTCTAATGACAAATGAAATTTTGTCTTGAAGCATGGTGTAGCCTGGGTAATAGTCTTAATATAACAACAGTAAAGTACACTATTACATTTTGCAGCAGTATGCGTAAAAAGCCAACGTCAGTGAGAAGGTTGAGATAGCTTTTCTCACCAGATCAGAAATTCTCGGGGCAGTCTTTGCAAGAACACAATGCGGATCATCTTCCACAACAAGTCTACTTCTGTATTTAGACTTGATAACCAACAAGCTAGAAAACCTGTTTAACAAAGATATGGTGTTGGAAATGGAAGTAGAAGGCACAACACAGTCTCAGACAGAACAGGATGTGACTGCAAACACTCAATCCAGAATTCTGTAACTGGCATTGTAGGGAAATCAGTCCTCCCTGCATCGCTGCAAATAAGTTCAATGAACTCTTGTGCTGGCTTAGGAACATCTTCCACTTTGACTGTGAATGGGCTTCTGACAAGTGCAAATGGGGTGTCAGGTAGATTTGGAAAGTATGATGAAATTTTGTCTGCAAGCATGTGCAAGTGTTCTTTCACAGAAATTATCATCGTAATCCTTTTGTCTGGTTCAATGTCATGTTCTTCAAAGAAAGCAGATAAGGTAGGCAACATGTGAATTTTATTTTCATCCAATTTTTTTTTTTGCCAAAGCTGAAGTTTCATTTGGAATGATCGGATTTTTTCAGACAAATCGAGGCATGTTGCATTTGGTCCTTGCAGTGATAAATTTAACTCATTCAAGGTGGCAAAGATGGCAACCAAGTAAGCTATTTTCTGCAGTTCACTTTTATCGTTGAAAAGTGCTTCGAACTGTGGTCTTGCTTTCTGATTAAAAACGTTTTGAGTTCATTTCATCATGAAGCTCAAAAACACATTTTATACTTTTCCTCTTGACAACATCTCACTTCAGTGTGAAAGAGCAGAGCATTATTTGGCACCTCAAACTCGTTGCACAGTTGCGAAAACAGTCGACTGTTTAGAGTGCTTGCCTTTACAAAACTGACAGAAATTATGACGCTTTTCATTACTTCTTGTACCTCTTGTGGCAGCGTCTTCGTTGCTTATATTTGCTGATGAATCATACAGAGAGTTCTGATGACTTCTGGTGACTCATTCAGTACCAGACATTGAAATCCAGATCGACATCCTAGCATAGCTGGAGCACCATCTGTGCAAACACCACAAACCTTTTCCCAAGAGATCTTATG